TTGTTTCCACGTTAAGTGAGTTAGCAGAACATAATGACGATAGTGCTGCAACAGCAAATGGATATTGTTTACAATTAATTCGAAATATTACAATATTTGAGATTGGTTTTATGAAAAATGTTTTAGAACATGCTTATTTTTTCTTAAAAGAAATTGAACGCGGAGAATCAACAATTGATAAATTTTCTTTATGTCTGGATTCAATGAAAGAAGCTATAGCAAACACAATGAATATGTTTGATTTTGATTTATACAAGAAAAAATTACAAGCTGTTGGTCGTGCCTCACCGAATGTTGCAAATCCATCGCAAACAACACGTCGAACAACAATCCAAGCAAACAATCAAGATATTGATACGGAAAAATTAATTGAACACGGTTATTCATTTGTTGATCGAATAATGAAATCTATTGAAGACCGCTTTAACAATAATTCCCGTACGGTGGTCGATAATATTGTTTTATTTTCAAATCCAAGTAATTATGATGATAATACATTGATGGGTAATGATCTGTTAACATTTTATTGTGAACAAATGCATTTTCAACATATTAGTACAAATAAAGACAAATATCAAAGAACTGACGAACCAATACTTGATAGAATGTTGTTGAAAAAACAATTACCGTCATTTAGATCATTAACAAAAAAAATTAAAGGAATTATTGAAATAACCCAACATCTTGCTAAAACTGATCTTTTTATTACGTCTCAATGGTTTACTTTTTACCAAATTCTATCAACATATCCGTTAGGGGTAAATGAATGTGAAAGAAGTTTCAGTGCTGTTACACGTATAAAAACTAAACTAAGAAATCGACTAGGAACAGACGCATTAGAAACAGCTGTAAAATATACAATGATTAAACCAGATGTAACGGACGAGGATATTGATTATATTGTGACAAACTTCTATTCAAATCCGGGATGTGCAAAATCGAGAAATGTTAGGATCTATATTGATGAATAGTTTTAAAAAAAATTAAATTCTCTGTCGTTTTCTTCATATTGCTGATGAATCTTGTTTTGAAATAAAATATGTCTACTCATGCACTACCAAGACGGCTTTGCAGCCTATATTGCGGTTACAGTATAAGGCTGCTCTTCTAGTTTCTGGAACCAATCACTTATCTAGTACAGAGAGAGTATTAGAAATATTAGGCCGGCCTGATATACAGAAACTGTATGATATTCACAAAGTAACTTTATTTTGCGAAATAATTATATCAGACGCGCCTACATATCTAACTCCCTACAATAACGTGTTCTTTTGTTCTCTCTCTCTTTGTCATTTTACTTCTCGCTAAACAGACTTTTTGGTTTGTCTGTGTGTGTGCCTGAACTTTCATATATTATTGTTTGACTCTTTTTTCGCATCAGATTCTTTTTCGCGATTTCATCGTATCGCTCGTATTTTCTGTATTCCTCAATAATGATGAGGCATGTCTCCCTTTCGGTGGTAGGGGGACAAACTAAAATATTTCTCTTTCAAACAAAATAGCTTATAACAATAAAATATAATGAAGAAACATCAATCTTCAATTAGCTTAAAACATGCAGTTACTCAGAAAAACATTTTGGTCCAAAAATGCGTTACTCAATAAAAAAATTTAGTTACTCAGCAGACTCTCCACCCCCTACAAAAACTACTATCGAAAACACTGCATAGAATTCACACCTTTTACGTATATTTTCAACATTCGATTTGTTTTCTCTTATACACCATTCGATAGGGAATCGGACGGCGATCACGAATATCACCATCGCGGCTTCCAAAACCCTTATATGCTTTGGGGTAATTATGATCAATCCGTGCAAATTACATGGAATAAACAGAATTTGACGTGCGCCGGTCTGTAGAAGCCGGGTTTTAGTCTAGTTCAAGTGAAGAATGTCTTCCGGATAGTATAATTA